GGTGGTAAAACCTTACCACGACAATACATACAATAAATATTAATATTCTCCACTGACCTGTGTTAAAGATGCATTTTCAGTATGACGTTTCTGTAGTTTCTGAAGCTGAGTTTTTTTGAATGTGTATACTTAGACAGTATTTACTTATTTACCTATTTTAATTTGCAACTGAAATGCAACATTTTTAACTGAACTCTTCCTAGAGTTAGTGGAGTTTAGCCATTACTGTTCATCTTGGTGATGGCTGGTAGAATGTGTGGAGAGTTTCTAAAAAAAAACTTCAACTTCAAACTCTTTTGCATGTAAAAATAGTTCATTTCCGCCCAGAATGTAAAACAGTTAAGGATCTTAAGCAAAAAAAAAAGGGAAAAAAAAGAAAAATGCAAAAAAAGTTAACAATACGTAAATGCAAAATGGTAATGTAGCCTAAAATAAATCACTTACAGTGAGCATATTTTGCTATTTTGGATTGCCAAAAACATAACAAGAAAAAAGTAAAATAGCCAATAAAATAATCGAGTGTCAGAATTAAATCTTCTTCTTCTTTTCCTTTCAGCTTTGTCCCTTTTTTCAGAGGTTGCCACCGCAAACCTTTTAAAAAGAAAATATTAAGAATGACCCAAATATTTTAATTAACCAAAACCTACAAAACAGCATGTTATCCATTGGTGAAGTAGCCAAATAGTAAACCTAAGAATAAAAAATTCCAACGAAAAAACGATAGATTTGATACACCCAGAATAAAGCATATTCAACATTAGTCGGTGTGTGTGGTCATTGTCACATTTTTTAACGGTGTAATAATATTGTTGAGCGTAGAACATTTTACGACAGTAGCAGGGAACAACGGCCACAAAGTGAGTGCTCGGTCACGTGACGCCAACAATTCACATGATTAAGGGGTGTGTTCTACACACACACGACCAGACGGAGCTCTGGCAAGTATTCTGATGGATAGCCGGGGTTTGGATAGGGTGCGTGCGCCTGCACAACCCTTTATGTTCGCTGCTGTGTGTCTGTTCTCTGTGTTAGGAACGGTGTGTCCGCTCAGCGGAGGAATGCTCTTCCCCCGGGAGTCTACGTCCAGAGACGTGAAGCACTTGAGCGGACTGTGGGTCTTCCGGGCTGACAAGTCGCCGTCCCGGAGCCTGGGCTTCGAGAAGGCCTGGTTCAAAAGTCGTCTGTCAGAGGTGGAGATGTTTTAAGAACGACTTGCTTTGTTTGTTTGTTTGTTTTTTAGTAGAATGAATGGTCTTTAATAGTGAGCTGCTATTAAAAGTGCAGCGAGGTAGATTTACATTGCGGTTAATAGAAAAGTCCAAACTAATAGAAAACCGATGTTGTGCTTCAGATAAAAAGGCGGGTTTTGTGCCACTTTTGTGTTACAACATGTACATTTCTCCAGTGTGGATCAATACAGTCTAATTTAATCCAAAGCCTTGCTTCATCTAAACATGATACCCCCTTAGTTAACATACTCCCATCCACTAGTTCTGGGTCTAAATTAAAAAAAGACATTTAAATAGACGTTTTAAAAATTATATGATAATGTGTGCACTGTGCAAAGAATTGTGATTATGATTATGGACATTGCATGAGGTCTGACAGCTGAAATGTCTGGTATGGAGTGGCACACTGTTACAATGTTAACTGATGACACAGTGTATTTGACTTAACCCACAGTGGGTTAAGTCAAATACACTGTGTTATCAGTGAACAAGCTCCTGGCACTGACTGTGTACCTAGTTTTTGTGGGGTTTGCTGACTTTAAAAATATTCCAGCAGAACAGGCTGTTAGTTAAACCTAAGAAAAAGTCCTGTAAAGTTGTATTTAAACATGATAAATAATAATATTAACATTTTTAATATCAAATTTTTTTTTTGGGGGGGGGGGGGATATGATAAATAATATTATTAACATTCTCAATATCACATTTTTTTTGGGGGGGGGGCTGAGAATTTTAGATAAACTTAAAGCCTTTTTATAGGTAGTGCAAAATTGAAAGGTGTTGTACAGTAGATGGCAGATGTACTGTAGTGTGAAAATGCACTATATGTTGGACAAAGAATTTCTGAGTTGGAGCCACAAGACTGGAGGAAAAAGGATGCATGTATTATGGTTGGTTAGAAGAAGATGTAGTTAAAAGGAAGAAATAGGATAAGATGAAGATGGATTGAAAAAAACCTCCAAAAAAAAAACTGTTGTAACATCATTCCAGGTTTTGACACCTTCTATTTTATTTTACTCTAGAATGGCCCAGTGATTGACATGCCTGTCCCTGCGAGCTACAATGACATCACCCAGGATTCTTCACTGAGAGATTTCCTTGGTTGGGTGTGGTATGAGCGAGAGGTGGTGGTCCCTGCAAGCTGGATTCAAAATAAAGAAATCAGAGTGGTGCTCAGAGTAGGAAGTGCTCACTATTATTCAATAGTGGTGAGTGACACAATACAAGCTATATTATTATGTTGTAAAGCAATATTCTTACATACGGTACTGTATTGCAATAAGCTACAAAGCCACACTTTGTCTTCACAGTGGGTGAATGGTGTACAAGTGGCTGAACACATTGGTGGTCACCTTCCTTTTGAGGCTGAAATAGGCGGTTTAATTCGCAAGGACCCGACTAGACCATGCAGGATCACCATTGCTGTCAACAACACTCTGACTCTGGAGACTCTCCCTCCAGGAACCATCCAACACATGGATGATCCCACCATGTAACTTTTTCTTCAGATTTTTTATGAAATGCACTTTAAGTTTACTTGCTCTCAATATATTTGCCAATGACAAATAAAGCTTCTAAAAAATTTTTAAAAGTACTGGTATGTTCAAAATAAATTTTAATTAATGTTGAGTTCAGGACAATATGTTTTAAGTCTCATTTATTAAATAACAGTTTTAACTAATTTTTAAATAATAATAATGCACCTGCAACCAAATATTTATATATATATTCCTTTTTTTTTTTTTTTTTAAAATAGTATTTTGCCACAATGTTTTTGCTTTTTTTTATTATTATTTAGGGTTTTGCATTCTGTAGTTTGGGTTTTGAGTATTGTTAGCATCCAAATTTACATTGAAATAATTATACAAATACACAATACATACTGTATTAAATAATATAACTCCACACATTACATTAAGAAACCATTTGGTCACTTTTACTTTTTATTTATTGTTTAAACTGGTTGTGCCACTGGACAATTGCATCTAATCTCTAATTAAACAGACTGCTGTTTGGATGCTAGCATTAGCTTCTACTATTGTCATGAAGTTTAAACAGATCATCTTTGGAAAAAAAATGTTTATGCTAAAATCATTTTTTCTACTTTTATATTGGTTGTACCACTTGACATGTAAAGCATAACAGCCTACATATGAGTTGAAAGTAGTTTTTTTTTTATTTGCATTTGACAGAGCTCTACAAACATTTTAGCCCAAGGGTCACTTAGAGTCCTCTGGTTGATGCAACTTTCTGTGTACTGCTGTTGTCTATTCACTTCAAGATAAATGTCCATTATTTATGGTTGTGCCACTCTGACATTTAAGAAATGTAAATTGCTCTGTAGAAGCTCACTCTGACATTTAAGAAATGTAAATTGCTGGACAACAGTTTTTTTTTTAAATATATTATAAAAGATTGTCCAAAAGACTTAAAACATAAAATAATGCCACAGTATTTTATTTTGATACGTATACTGATCAAACTCTTATGCTAAATTATAATTATTATAATTTGTTATTGACGGTAGCATCTTTAGCACTTTTAATGTTAATGCGATGGATGGTTTTGTTCCTTTTGTTTTGCTTTTCGTCAAAATTACAGTCACCAGTTTAATATGCCATTTTAATGTACTTTCTCAACAGGTATCCTAATGGATATTTTGTACAAAATACCTACTTTGATTTCTTCAACTATGCTGGTCTTCATCGGCCTGTACTGCTCTACACTACGCCTACAGCATACGTTGATGACATCACTGTTGTGACTGACTTCTCAGACAACATTGGTAAATATACGATCCTTTGGTTTTAATTGTTTGTTAATATTTCACAATCTTTGAGGGCTAAACAGATCTTTTCAACTTCACATTAGTTTGTCAGTACAACCAACCCTCCAATTCACGTTTATTTTTATTATCAGACTAACATCATTTGTAAATACGTTTCACCAAGTTTAAAGTAAGTTTTTTCGAGGTTCAATTAACACACACGTATATGTGTATATATGTGTGTGTGTGTGTACAGTTGCAAGAAAAAGTATGTGAACAAAAGTCACATCACTAGACAAACTTCAGCCAATACTGCACAAAACATATACAGTATACGTTTTCATGTTATTATTGAACACAACAAGTAAACGTTCACAGTGCAGGGTGGAAAAAGTATCTGAACCTTTGGATTTGATAACTGGTTGACCCTCCTTTGGCAGCAACCAAATGTTTCCTGTAGTAGCAGATCAGACCTGCACAACGGTCAGGAGGAATTTTGGACCATTCCTCTGTGCAAAACTGTTTCAGTTCAGCCATATTCTTGGGAGTTTACCTTCTTTTTGGAACAACTCCAGAAGTGACTTCCGGTGGCTCTTTACGTCTTACTGTCCCATGGTGCATTCACGTCTTCTTTGATGTGGCGCTTTTTATGTTTAACCATTCACGTCTTCTTTGATGTGACGCTTTTTATGTTTAAGTTAGTAGTATTGTATGAAGAGACGGTTACATCTGATTTTCAGCTCTGCAAATATCACATGTTGCTGTGTGGTTTCGATCGTTTCTTCTTCTTTTTTCGGCTTGTCCCTTTTTCAGGGGTTGCCACAGCGAATCATTGTTTTCCATCTTCCTTGTTCTCTGCATCTTCTACTCTGACTCCAACTATCTTCATGTCCTCCCTCACTGCATCTGTCTCCTACCTGGTAGCTCCATCTCTAGCATTCTTCTACCAGTGTATTCACTGTCCCTCCTCCGCACATGTCCAAACCATCTCAATCTGGCTTCTCTAGCTTTTTCTCCAAACCTTCCTGTCTGTGTTGTCCCTCTAATGACCTCATTCCTGTTCCTGTCCATTCTTGTCACTCCTAAAGAGAATCTTAGCATCTTTAACTCTGTCACCTCCAGCTCCTCCTCCTGTCTTCTGCCTATTGCTAGTGTCTCTAAACCATACATCATGGCTGGTCTCTCTCCTGCACCAAACTAACATACTTCTCTGCCACTTCAAATCTTTATTGTATGGCTCATCAACTTTATCCCTCTGTAGTTGTTACAACTCTGCACATCACCCTTCTTATTAATTGGCACCAGAACACTTTTCCTCCACTCAGTCTTTAAAATTCTATTGAACAACCCAGTCAGGAAATCTACCACCACTTCTCCTAAGCATTCCCATGCTTGTCATCGGGACCAACTGACTTTCCACTCTTCATCCTCTTCAGGGCTTTTCTAACTTCATCCTTTCTAACCTGATCTACCTTCTTCCTGATAGTTTCTGGCTCCTCATTCATGTGTTCCCTTTCATTTTCCTCATTCAACAACTCCTCAAAGTACTCCTTCCATCTTCTCAGCACACTTCTCTCCTCACTTGTGATTACATTCCCATCTCTGTCCTTAATCAACCTCACCTGCTGCACATCCTAACCAGCTTGATTTCTCTGTCTCGCCAATCTACACTAAATTCCTTTTCTCCTTCCTTTGTGTCCAAACTCTCATACAACTCCTAATATGCCTTTTGTTTGGCCTTGGCCTCTTTCCTCTTCGTCATCTTCCACACTACCATCCAATGTTGTTTGACTACACTCTCACCTGCCACCACCTTACAGTCTCTAATCTCCCTCAGATTACCTCTTCTACATAGAATATAATCTATCTGTGTGGACCTGCCTCCACTCTTGTCAGTCACCCTGTGTTCCTCTTTCTTTTGGAAATATGTGTTTACCACAGCCATTTCCATTCTCTTTGCAAAATCTACCACCACCTGTCCTTCCAAGTTTCTCTCCCTAACACCAAACTTACCCATCACTTCCTCATCACCTCTGTTCCCTTCCCTTACATGACCATTAAAGTCTGCTCCAATCACCACTCTCTCCCCCCGGGGATGCTCTCTATCACCCAATCCAGCTCATTCCAGAACTTTTCTTCCAACTCACAGCCCACCTGTGGGGCGTAACCACAATAAAATAAAGTACAATAAGATACAAACAAGAGTAGCAGCTCACTTTCAATGAATATTGGAAACCTTAAGAGTGGATGTTAGTAAATTAGATTAGTAGGTTAGTACAAGTAGATAAATAGTGTTAGTAGTAATTTAGTAGGTGATTATTGTACATACACATGTACATACGCCCACATCCACATATATGCACTATATACTGTATATATATGTATGTATGCACACACATACATATATATATACCTACACAAATACATCTAAATATGCATACACATGTACAGACATACACATACATCAGCATTGTGTGAGCATATGTATATACATATATAACATATACTTATAATAGAATATAAAATACAAAAACAATGGTTTGTTGAAATATAATAGTAATGTCAACATGTTGTGTTCAATAAAATCCTAAATAAATACAATTTTTTTTGTGCTGTATTAGTTTAAGTAAACTAGTGATGTGACTTAGATGAAGATCAGAACATATATTATCAATGATCAATTTATGCAGAAATCCAAATAACCCAAAGGGTTCACATACTATAACTTTCAACTGTATGTGTTAATTATTGATTTTATATATATATATATATAATTTAATTAATTAATTAAATTATATTTATTTTATAATTTATCTACTAGATTGATACATTTTTTAATAAATTTATAATTTACTACTACTATTAATCTACTAACATCCACTGTTCAGACTTCTCAACAGTGTGCTGCTACTCAGTTTGTATTTTGGTTGTATTTTGATGAAATTATTGTATTTTACTTATTTGTGTTATTTGTGTTTTTACTGTTGTTTTGGTGTTGTAATGCTGCCGGAGCCTAGATTTCCCAAAGGGAACTCCCGAGGGATTAATAAAGTTCCATCTATCATCTATCTATCTATATATATCAGTCTATCAGGGTTTATTTATTAGTGACATAATTCCTCTCTGTTTTAGTTTTATTTTCCATATGTTTCAACAACAATTCAAATGAAAAAAAAAAACTTTATAAAATATTCCTGGAGACAAAGATTATTTTATTAAACAAGGTTTTGTGCCTAATGTCTCTGTTTAGGATTCGTGCACTACAAAGTATCAGTCCAAGGAGCTATCACAGTCAGCCTGAAGGTCACTTTGATGAACAACGATGGAGAGTGTGTTGCCTCCTCCACAGAGCAGGAAGGAGTGCTCAGAGTGGTGGATGTCAACCTGTGGTGGCCGTACCTGATGCACGAAAAACCAGCTTATCTTTATACCTTGGAGGTTAGAGGTCACAAAGTACAATTATGATATATTTCATTGTCTCAACACCTAATGAATTGAACCATCCTTTTCTCAAAAGCAGTTTTAAAGTAGGCAACTGGACCTCACCTCAAGCAAGTTGAAGACATTTTGCCTCTCATCCAAGAGGCTTCTTCAGTTCTAGTTTCATGGTGGGGAGTTTTCAGGTATTTTTCCACCCCAAAGGGGGTGTGGTGTTGAGTAAATTAGTCATGGGCCCAAACAATATAATCATGTGATTCGTTGGCTCCTATGGTGGATCGTTCCCCCTCCCTGACCTCTGAGTGTGGGGGTTGTTGGAGTTACCTGAATGGAGGTATGTCTGAGACCCCCTCCTCCGTTCAAAGATGGTCTTTCTAGTTTGACGTGGATGGCTTCTTTTACTCCTCTCTCAGGATGTGGATGGCTTCTTTTACTCCTCTCTCAAACCATCTGAACTCTCTGACCAGAATGAACAAAGGAGTGCCCCTTCTTCTTCAAGTGGAGGTGGATTGCTGAGTCCTGGCCTGATGTTGTGGCCATCCTGTGTTGAGGCATACATTTGTGTAATGGCCGCTTTGTTTCCCCAGTGTACAGGACAGAGCATTCTCATTGCATTGTACTGCATACACCTCATTGCTTTGTGTCTGGGAATCTTGTCCTTAGGGTGGACAAGTCTCTGCCTCAGGGTGTTGCTGGGCTTGAAATCCACTGGGCATTAAAGATCCCCCTGAGATTCTCTGAAACTCCTGCCACATATGGGATGGGACAATGTTATTCCTCTTTTAGGCATCAACTAACATGGCTGTTTTAGCAAATGCCCAATTTGGATAGCCACAGTTTTGGAGTGCTGTGTGTATGTGTTTGTGTTCCCTTCTTTTCCCTTCTGATTCTGAGGAAATGTTTTGGGCTCATTGCACGCACGGAGTTGTCCTCATGCTTTTGAGGACTGCTCAAAGATCACTCATTGGTTGGGAGGCCCATGGACTGCATCTAAGAAACTTTCAAGACCAAGAAAAGGTGAATTAATATGAACTTAGTGCAATGCCATGCTCCAATCAATGACAGCACTGAAGAAGAAAAAAACTTCTTTTCTTTTTTTTGGCGATTTCAACGCAAAGATTGGCTGCGACAACACAGCCTACGAAGAGGTCATGGGACGACAAGGTTTAGGCGACATGAACGACGACAGAAAGAGGTTCGCCAACTTGTGGGATACGAGTTACCTGGTTATAGGCAGCAGCATCTTTCCTCACCAGAGAATCCACAAGTGACATGTCCTAACCTATCTACCAAGAACCAGATAGACCATGTGCGCATCACACAGAAATCCAGGAGATCCCTACAAGATGTTTGCACAGGGAGAGAAGCAGATTTTGCTTCAGATCATCACTTTGTACTGGTCCAGTTAGGACTGAAGAGAATGTGGACAGGGTGGCCCACTTAAAGTTAGGACTGAAGAGAATGTGGACAGGAGAGGCAGGGCACTGCTAGAAATACAGCACCAGCCTTCTCAAGCAACAGGAAAAACACTAGGGTTCAGACTGGTGCTTAGAAACAAGTACCGAGTGCTGCATGAGCTTATAGATCAAGAGCCTATTGTTGAGAGCTGGAAGGCGGTGAGAGTAACAATGACAACAGCCTGCCAGGAAGTTCTGGATCTCAGGACAACCACAAGGAATGGATATCGGTGGAGCCCCTGAAGAAGACCCAGATGAGGAAAGTAAGAAAAGCTGCCCTCAACAACAGCCGCACTAGAACAGATAAAGCAAGGGCGCAACAGGCGTCCAGTTAGGCCAGTCGGTGTGCCAATTTAAGTATTAGGGCGGACAAGGCACATCGATTTGCTGGCTGCTGAGGCAGAAGAGGCAGCTTTCCAAGGCAACCTGCAGGATCTCTACAACATCACTTGGAAATTCATCCATCCATCCATCCATCCATTTATTTATTTTTATCCGCTTATCCATTACCGGGTCGCGGGGGCAGCAGTCTCCACCCAAATCACATTGCACCGTACCAACCCCCCAAACCTTCCTGCAGGTGGTGAGTCCACTGGAAGGTATTAACCGCCCTAACCGGGATTCGAACTTGCCCAGGAGGTGAACCCTGGGGTTCCACACCAATGACAGAGACATTGCCTCTGAGCCAAAGCGCCACTATCACTAGGAAATTGTCTGGGAAATTTGGAAGACCTGAAAGACCAGTGAAAGATAAGCAAGGAAACCGCATCTTGGAAGAGGAAGGACAAAAGAAACAGTGGATGGAACACTTCGCAGAGCTGCCCAACCAACAACCCCCCCAGAACCCTCCAGGGATACCTCCAGCAGACAACGATCTACCCATATACTGTGATGAACCCACCAAGGAGGAGATATGCTCGGCCATTAAACAACTGAAGAATAGGAAGGCCGCCAGACCCGACAACATACCAGCAGAGGTCTTGAAAGCAGACGTAGATGGAATGACAGAGGTATTCTACCTGCTCTTCGAGAAAATCTGGCAGGAGGAACAGATTCCCACAGAATGGAAAGAAGGTTACCTCATCAAACCAAAGTAAGAAAACCTCAGCAAATGCAGCAACTGCAGCGGGATAACACTGCTATCCATACCAAACAGGTTTTCAACAGAATCCTCCTCAACAAAATGAAAGTTGCAGTTGACCCCCTGGTCCAAGACCAGCAGTCTGGCTTCCGGAGGGAACGGTCAAATGCACAGATCAAATTGCCACTTTGAGGATCATCATGGAGCAGTCCTTGGAGTGGAACTCTCCCCTCTACGTCAACTTTATTGATTACAAAAAAGCATTTGATAGAGCGGATAAAGGAACATTGTGGAAGCTGCTGAGACATTTTGGAGTCCCAGACGAGATTACTAACATCATCCGGAACTTGTATGAGGGAATGACATGCAAAGTGGTCTGCGGTTAAGACCAGCAGCTCGCTGACGCCTTCCAGGTGAGAACAGGAATCCGTCGAGGATGTTTGCTGTCACCTATCCTGTTTCTGCAGAGCAGATTGGAATACAATAGACACTATGGCAGCAACTGAACGATCTAGACTACGCCGACGATCTAGCACTTCATTCCCACACCCACCAGCAAATGCAAGAACAGGTCACAGCAGTTGCGGAGAACTCAGCACAGGTGGGTCTGAAGATCCACAAAAAGAAAACCATGACCCTTTGAATTAACGCCAGAAATGAATCGCCTATCACCCTTGAAGGAGAACCTCTAGAAGAAGTAGATAACTTCGTGAACCTCGGCAGTGTCATCAACAAGAAAGGAGGCACAGACACTGATGTGAAATGAATCTCGGCAGTGTCCTCAAGAAAGGAGAAAGGAGGCACAGACACTGATGTGAAGATCAGAATTGGCAAATCAAGAGCAGCCTTCAACCAACTTAAAAATGTCTGGATACAACCAAGATCAAGGTACAAATCTTCAACTCCTATGTGAAGTCGCTTTTACTGTTGGAGCTGACACATGGATAACCTTGAAGACAGCAACTCTTAAGATACAAACGTGCGTCAATAAGTACCTGCATCAAATCCTCTATCAATAGTTTGAGTGGAGTACAAAGACGGTGGAGATGGATTGGCCACACCCTGCGGAAGGCAATCTCCAACACCACCAGACCCAAGCCCTCACGTGGAATCCACAAGGAAAACGAAAACATGCAGACCTGAAAACACCTCTCGCTGTGACCTTGAGGCCGACTACAAGAAGGCAGGATACACAAGGCAGTTGGAACACCTGGCATAGGACTGGGGTGCTTGGAGGACCTTCCTTGGCAGCCTCTGCCCCAATTGGGGTGATAAGCGATAGTAGTAGTAGCTTAATGGTCCGGATCACCCCCAATTTGTGTTCGAGTGGATGATGCGAATCAAACCGAAGGTACAGGTCGGTGTGAGTAGGTTTTCTATACACCTCCAGGTTGAGTTCCCCATTTCTTTCAATGTGCACAACACAATCCAGGAAAGGTAGACAGTTTTCCCCGACATCTTCTCTTGTGAATTGGATGTTTTTAACCACTGAATTGAGATGGTTTCAACTTCACCCTTCCTGATAGTGACCAAGATATCGTCCAAATATCTAAACCAATGTCTCGGTAAGTGGCCTCTGAAAGTTTTTGGGGCTCTACTCTTCATATACGGGTTAGCTACAATGGGGGATACTGGCGATCCGATGGCACAGCATGTACCATGATGTAGAATAAAAAATCAAATAACCTTAGTAGGGCCTACTAAAAAACAAACATATTCCCAAAAAGTTTTATTCTGTCAATATTTTTAAGCTAATGCACACGTTTTGTAAAATCAGAACATTTTGTTGTACCATTTTAAAATAATGTTAATGCTGTGTTTAGGTGATAAACATGTAACCTAGTTGCTTGGCGCAGCAGCTGACATTTCAAACCAGTAAAAAGTTAAACTATGTCGAGAAGAACCTTTCTCACTCACTGCAAGTGCTGAGCTCAGGGCCTTCGATTTAGGTCCTGCAGGAAGTGTCGCAAAAGGCAAAAAGAGGAAGGAACTATTGTTTAAATGAAATTGACAATTATTCCCTTCAACTTTCAGGTTCGCTTAACGGGAGACGGCGAAGATGTGTACGCTCTACCCATTGGCATCCGCACTGTTGAAGTTACCAGCACCCAGTTTCTCATCAACAACAAGCCCTTTTACTTTCATGGAGTCAACAAACACGAGGACTCTGATGTAAGTACCACTAGAGGGCAGCAAGAGCTTTTTAATTCATTTTCTCCATGAACACAGAGAAGTAGTTTTTAAATGTATAAGCTTCCATAAAAAAATATGTTTTAGGTAATACTGCGTGCTTAGAAACATTGCTTCTTTTTCTAATCCAGGCTTATCCATGATCTACTGAAATGATTAGTCTTCTTAAAGACGGACTATTTAGGGAGCATTACAACAAATCATTGGTCAGAGTTAAAATTTGAGGAATCTCTAAACTTAAAAAAATAGTTTAGAGATTAAACTGACACTTTAAACAACTTTCTCAGATTTCAGAAAGAGAGGAACAAACAAATGTATCTAATTTTCCTTAGTGTGGAAAAACTGAGTATACCATTTTTCTCAAGATGTTGAAAGAGGTTCACACAAAATTGGCAGAGATAAAAAAAAAAAAAATTAGGAAAAGATGTTTTTAAGATCCCAGATTAACCTGTGAAAATACACGTGAAGTGCTCTGCCCCTGTCTGGAATGCAGTAATGGAAAGCATCTGTACTCCATCTCTGTATCTCACGAGTTAGATCCGAGGCAAAGGTTTGGATTGGCCCCTGATCGTCAAGGACTTCAACTTATTAAAATGGCTTGGAGCCAACTCTTTCCGTACCAGTCACTACCCATATGCTGAAGAAATCCTGCAAATGTGCGATCGCCACGGCATCGTAGTGATAGATGAATGTCCAGGAGTGGGCATCAAAGACATGTAAGTGTCCTTGTGACGTTGAGTGTGACAATTTATTACAGGACTGCTGTAAAAAAACACTTGCAACAAACATTCAATTATTATCAACAATTATAGGATGCTAAGCTAGTTACATTTATGCAATAAGAAAAGTGTAATACACACACTACTGCACATCACCACATAAGTTTAGTTTTTGGTTTTGAAGTGAGTAAAGTAGTAGTAAAGTAGTACCATTCATATCCATTCATATTCCTATCATAGCTGGGTTTTTTTTTTTTTCGTGGGGTTCAGAATGTTCCTTAAAAATAAATATTCACAACACAACTTTTCGGTTCACATATACCTATCATAGCTGGGGTTTTTTTTTCATGGGGTTCAGAAATATTCACAACACAACTTTTCGGTTCACAAACAGCCTTCAGGAACAAATTAAGTTTGAAAACTGAGCTGCCACTGTATCGTCTTGTTTATAAACTCAAATATTCAAAAACCAAATCCTACTTTCCACACAAATCAATAACGGCATCTTCGCAAAAAAAAAAAAAAAAAAAGTTCCTCTCCTATTTGCTAACACATTTTGTTCTGTGTTTTTTTTTTTTTTTTTTTTTGTGTTTTCTAAACCAGTCGTAGTTTTGGAAACGCCTCACTCACTCATCATCTGGATGTCATGGATGAGCTCGTACGTAGGGACAAGAACCATCCCTCTGTTGTCATGTGGTCCGTAGCTAATGAGCCAGCCTCAGAAATGCCACCCGCTGAACTGTATTTCATGTGAGTATTAACACTATTTATTTTCAATACAAACCCACTTTTTGTCTCGCTGAGAACTTTGTGATTTTCAAAGTCGTCTCTCAGGTTAGTGATTGTTAAATCTTAAGTCCCTCGGGCCATTTTTGTGGCCATTTTCAAGTGCAACAGCAACAAGAAAGAGTTTTGCTGACGAAATATATATCATTGCTGTATATGTTGTGTATGGGAAAGGTGTTGTCATTTACTCACAACTTAGCTCTGTACTCCAATGTCTGGAATGCAGCAAGAGTATTTCTGAAGACATTCTCAGCTGGAGAGCAGCTACAGCCTGAGGCTTCAGGTCAACAAACCGGGACAATAATAAGCGTCAGATCATATGGTATAAATATATATTAAATATCATCAATATAGGTAGATCTCTTTGGTCTGGTCAATTAAAAAAGTAGCTCCCAAACCAACAAAGTGAGGATACCCCTGGTCTAAACCCTGACTGTTAAACATTATTATTGTAGTGACTAGATCAGGGGTGTCAAACATATGGCCCGGGGGCCAAAACCGGCCCACTGGGGTGTTTGATCCGGCCCACGTGATGAATTTTAAAAATAAAGAAAAAAATTAAAAACACTTCATGTATTATAGGATATTTTTCACAAAACTTATATTTCATTAAATATGAATAAATAATAATAAATAGCTAATATACTTGTACTTGTTTGCATAAAAACAAAGGGGAAAAACATGGACTCTTCGTTATTTATACTTAATTATGTTATGGTCCGGCCCACTTGACATCTAATTAGGTTGTATGCGGCCGCTGAATCAAAATTAGTTTGACACCCCTGGACTAGATGTAAAGCTACTGACCTTTGAACTGCATTCAATACCATTTAAGCAGGTTTAGCAGATTAACAGTGACGAGGAGGAGCTAGCCTGGGAATACAAATGTTACTAAATTATCACTGATAAAGAATATTCTTCACAGCCACAAAGGTTGTATTTGCTCAGGGAAGCTAAAGACATGTGACAACCACTGCAGTGTGGTGCCGCTCAATTGCTTTGTTTAAACCTGATTATCAGGAAATAGGTAGGGGCTCGAATTACATTATTTGGTATTTGGTAAGATGCACTGGTGCACATAAAAAAAATACTTGCACCAGTAAAAATACTATATAAATTCTCACAAAACATTTTATACCGTTTGTTGTGGTAAACTTGCTATGATTTTGTGGGGCCAAATGAATTCACAAAAACAAAGACATTCTACATGTTACTAAAAATGTTACTGGCTTGTACCACATTTGGGGTCCCGAACACATGATTTGTGTCACGTGATCATCAGCAAATTATCGGGGAGGAGAAAGCAACTTGTTCCCAGGGAAAACGTAATGTAATACAAGGAAGTGAAAAGAAAACGTAACCCTAGCGCCACGTCGGCTAATTCTGGGTTGCCAAGGACGTTTAATACTTAAACAAGGAAGAAAAAGATAACACAGTGGAAACTTTTTTTTTTTTTTTCAATTTTTTTTTTTTTTTTCAGCTGTTTGGTTCGGTAGAAAAAAGCTACTTGCACTGGTGCAAGTTGGGTACCAAATTACGTGCACCGCTCCAATTTTACGTGCAAAACTGGTGGGAAATAGGTCAAGAGAGATTGGATCATGTCCATTTTCTATGAACAAAAAAAATCATACAGCCTATCAGACTGGGTTTGATTGATATGACGACATGACATTCTCTTTTCTGCTGCCAATCCCATTCAAACTTTCTGTAGCACTGTCGCCTCCAGCTCAGTGTGTTCTCTTTGCAACAAGGCCATAACCTTAACATTACCAGAAATGATAGTCAAACTTGCATTTGGTGACGTTGTTGTCATCATCATTACTATTGTCGTAATCCTCTGTTTATTTACCCATGTTGTTTTTCTAGGACCTTGATCAAGCATACCAAAGCACTGGACCCTACTCGTCCCGTCACATATATCACAAACAGTAACTATGCCAGAGACAAAGGGGTGAGTTTTTTTTTTAAAAAAACAAGTGCCAGAGTATCTGCAGTGTTTGTTCAGTAAAGTGATATTTATGCTTAGACATTTTCAGTTACACTTTGTTTGTATTAAGCCAACTTCATTTTTGCTAAAACAGCATTATGTTTGTTTCGGATACAAGGGAGAAAAAAAAAAAATGTTTTTATTGTTTTGTTTTTCCCGTGGTAAAACCGGTTCTTGTCACGCCTACGGCGTTTCAAGTGCCAACTTTAGACGTATAATTTAAATAATAATTCATGGCAAAGCGCATGTTGTATATAACTGTCGCTGAGCTGCCAGTATTCAGAGGAACGGGTGAAATTGTGGTTTTTATACAACAAAAGCACGTTAGTAAAGACCACACGGATGTTTTATCTGTTTATCATATTCATTTGCAAATTGCAAATCAAGATAACAACATTCATCATCACTCCTATTTCGTATTTATTTGCAAATTGCAAATCAACATTCATCATCAATCCTTCTACTTCTACCTTCACACACATCAACCTGTCTGACTCTCGTTTCACCTCTACCACATTTCTTACATGCTCTTCCTTTAGGATCACCCCTACTCCATTTCTCTTCCCATCTGAACCATGATAGACCAGTTTGTAGCCTCCTCCAATGTTTCTAGCCTTACTGCCCTTCCACCTGGTCTCCTGCACACACAAAATATCTACTCTTCTTCTCTCCATCACATCAGATATTTCTCTACTTTTCCCTGTCATTGTCATTGTTTTCTCCTAACCAAACACCCTCCTCTTCTTCTCTGTCTCTGACTAACTGTCTCAGTTCATAATGACCTGCCAGAATATGGTCGAAACAACATGCAGGAACGATGGCTGTCAATTACCATTTTGAATCTGATAAATCACAGGGTAGTTGTTGATTAATCAGGATTAAATCCAGATAAATCAACATCCACAAAAAAAAAAAAAAAAAAAGTATTTTCTTCCGTATATTGCTGAAATAGAAAGACAAATAATAGTAGATGTATGTGTTTCGTGACTAATCAAAATGATTGGATTTGTCGTTGTCACCAGGCTCCCTTTGTGGACATTATCTGTGTGAACAGTTACTTCTCCTGGTACCATGATCCAGGTCACTTGGAGGTTATCCCCATCCAGCTCAACACGCAGTTTGAGAATTGGTACAATAGGTACCAGAAACCTATAATCCAGAGTGAATATGGAGCAGATGCAGTGTCAGGTCTTCACAGTGTAAGGACTGCGCACGCACGCACGCACAAAGAGCTCTGTTTATTACCAGTCTCTGAATTTCTCAGCCACCTCCCCCCCCCCTAGGATCCACCCATGATGTTTACAGAGGAGTACCAGAAGGTCGTCCTGCAGAACTACCACAACGTGTTTGACCAGAAGAGGAAGCAGTATGTAGTGGGAGAACTCATCTGGAACTTTGCTGATTTCATGACTGCGCAAGGTAACCTGTCACTGCAAGACACAACCTGTCTTAAACTACACCTGGCGTGAGTTCACTTTACAGAGATACTGTTCACGCTGTACTGCAGTACACTCTGTGTGTCACAGTCAGTCGTTTGCTTTTGTTTACGGATAGAGTCCGATTTATGAATACATTAACAAGAGAATACGTGGAATTACTATTCAGTTGACAAAATGCACATTAACTTAATTAAAATATTTTTTATATATATTTTTTTTTTAATTAAAAAATGATTTATATAATTTACTAACACACGACGAACACGCTTCTCAGTACAGACAAAATATTGGTTAAGACAAGGGAGCTCAAAAAGTAGATCTAAATCTACTAGAAGATCAGAAAATGAGTGCTGAAAAAAATATTTTTCTATATATATATACACACAATGGAACCTTGGTTCTCGAACGCCTCCCTTTTCAACAAATTTGGTTTACAAATTTGTTGAACCATTTGTGTTAACCAAAAATTGCCCTGGTTGTTGTAACATAACTCAGTGGCCGAACAAGCCAACAATATGAGGCGGGCAGGAAGTGAATGACTGGCCTTCAGGAGCGAATTAAGGTTGAAAAACAAGGTTTTTTTTTCATCTGTTTACATAAATTTTTTTTTTTTTTTTTTTTTTTTTTAAAAAGTTTGACGTTACCTTTCTAAATTACAAATTCAATTGTATAATTCACAACTATTTTTGTAAAATCTTAAGAGTCTATGTTTAACTCCAAATTCCGGCATGCAATTTCTTCAGTCTTTGTGACAGTCGCTCAGGTCTCGAATTTTTTTTAATGACCTGATAAACAGCAATCCCAGCAATAATTTTCTTTTCAATCTGTCTTTCCCCTGCAGGTATCACTCGTGTGATGGGGAACAAGAAGGGCATTTTCACTCGGCAGAGACAACCTAAAGCAGCAGCCTTCATACTGAGAGAAAGATACTGGAGCCTGGCAAATCAAACTATGTTACCATCATGGACCAAGTATATACCTGAACACAGCGTATGTCCCCACTTACAACCGAGGCAGCCATAATTTAAATGCAGTGTCTATTTGTGAAAACAATCACTTCCTGTTTTACACTATTGTCTCGCATTAGACCTGGTCGTGCGTCACTGTGGTGGGTATCTGAAATGCTGCAATAATTTTTGGTGTTACAGCAATTTCTGTTTTTTTTTTTTTTTTTTGGTTTTCTGAAAAAATTATAGAATTGTAATGCTGATAAAAAAAAAAAAGATTGCAATGTTTCAATTACTGGGATTTGTAATTTTATACGAAGAATGTATTTTTGATCATGTTAAAATCCAATCAATTAATAATGATAAGATCTGACATTTCTTCTGTAGTGGGAGAGTGAATGTGAGCCTTAATGCTCTCTACGGAATGTCA